TAAACATTCAGCACATCTGGCTGTAAACCTCGAATCGTCACCTTCAGGCTCTTCTGAACATCAGATGCTTGTTCCTTGACTTCAACGTATATCTAGACCCAATCAGCATCGCCCGCCATACAAGCATGTCACACTTCGTCTTTCCTAACATTTATTTTCGCCAACTTTGTTAATTTAATCCTTGTTGCCTGCAGTTGGGAGAATAGATATCTTATATTTATTTACATTAGCTTTTCTCTTACAATTGCTAAGGGGTCACTAAAAGGCCTTTGAGCATTCTTATGTTACTCAACCCTCGATTACTAATCAAACGAATTCTAGAGAATTAACTCTATTTTATCATTGAAAAGGTCTTACATAATATCTTCCATTAAGTGATACACAAAGAGTATTCAGGGCCATTTCGTCAGAAAAAAATCAAGCCAACTCTTATTGTAAGTTATTGTTTATGTGTAGATGATTAAAAATCAGGACGAGTTAGAAAATGTACAAAAGGTGTACCTTCAAAATAGTGTTCATTTGTGTTAAGGCACATTAGGCAATTCCGGAAAGATGAAAATCAACCGAGCCTTGGATTGGTATAAAATGGTCTCCATGCTCAAAAAGTTGATTCAAGAAGATCATATTAGGCAGCTGCGATGGTAAACAACTTATTAGATATCCGCTTAAGTCGATTTTGGCAACTCTGTACCAGATAATGCTAGCATTTCGGTCCGTCTAACCAAACGGTCTTGAGGTTTGGGAGGTCGGACCTTTTTTGGCTGGTTTGGCCGACGTCTTCGGTGAGCAGATTTCTGTACACTTTCTAGCATTGATGAAGTTATGTTGGCATTTACATTAAATTGGTCCATGGGAATATCAATGGCAACCGACACCTGACGTGCCATTATATTTGCTTCAGGTGTTGCATGTGGTGACTGGTCACATTCAACTTCTCTCAGAACCTTGTTTGAATTTCTTTCTCTTGAATGGGTTGTATTTGTGCTTTCTCCAGACCAGACTCCATTGTCGGTCAATTTTGTACCTGTGTCTGGTTTGCCGTATAATGGACATACAGATTCACAGTCAAGCTGATCTGCTTTTATCGCCCCCAAACTAGGCGTTGCTAGAGGGAGCGTTTCTTCTGTCTTGATTAGTTTGTCAGCCAAATCCATTTGGCAAGCTGATTTTGTAAAGGCACACTGACTCGTCGTCAGAGCCTCGCCTTCACCCAGCCTTTTCAACGGCAAATACTTTTCTTGTATGGAGACGGAATCTAGCAAATTGGTTTCGTCTTCAGAGGAGGTGCGACTGACGTCGACCGGTGTCCTTGTAACTATTTGTGACATACCAGTGGTTTTACTTGCTCTTGCACTTAATGAACTAGGTCGATTGGCTGATTCCTTTCTTCTA